TTCTTCTGCTAGGTTGTGGTGCGGTGTGTGGCAATCGTTTTGGTGGTCATTTCAGGATACTTGTTGCTTGACTTTCCACACGTCTACCATGCAAAAACCTGGAGTTTTTGCAGCTTTCCAGACAAAAACTTCGCAACTGACCCAAAAATTGAACAAAAAACACGAAAAGCATGGTATTTGCGACACAGTCGCAAAAATGCTACCAAAAAAGAAGTAAGAACAATAAACATTGAAAAACGAAAACACCGAAACGTCGTGCTGTTGACGAAAACCTCGCGAAACACGGTGTTTTCGTGCTGTCGACTAAAAAACCGCCCAAACATAAACGACACACCCCGCGCGGCGGAAGACGCACGTGCTACCTCCTCCTCCTTGTTGTTGTTGTTGTTGTCGCTATCGTTGCTGCTGCTGTTGTTGTTGTTGTTGCTGTTGCTGTTGCTGTTGTTGTTGTTGTTGTAGTAGTTTGTTGCCGTTGCTCTTGCTGTTGCTGTTGCTGTTGCTGATGCTGTTGCTGTTGTTACCTTTGCTGTCGCTGTTGCTGTTGTCGCTGTTGCTGTTGTTGCTGTTGCTCTTGCTGTTGTTGTCGCTGTTGTTGCTGTTATGGTTTTTAGTATTTTAGTACTTCGTATAGATGGATATATGTCCTGCCGTTGCTTCCTAGTCCTACCCTAACTATGACATGACTGAAAACATGCTGGATGCCCCCCTCAGCGCCAAAAGTAGTTTTTCCCTATCCCAGGAACCAGAAAGAAGAACGGTCGGAGCGACATCACAAAAAAGGCAGGGAAGCAAAGGTGGAGAAGTCCACTGGGATGATCACGAAGCTTCGGCACCATTTAACTGTTTGTTTCGGCTTGAGAGCCCCTTGGCCCTCTCTCTAAACCCAAACCCGCACATGGAGCTTCAGGTTTTTCAGTGTCAAGGTGAAAGGACCAGAGGTTTCGAGACGCGGAGGTCATGTGACAGCAGCTGTCAGAGGTCTGGCTGAAGATGCCGCATGGGGCAGAAGTCATAACACCAGGAAGGAGGCCCTACATATGAAGTAAGTCCTGTTGTGCTGTGCCCTTAATTAATCAAGTCAAACAAACGGAACAACTTAAACACGACAGAAGCATGTTTCCCGTGACCCAGCGGTGCGCAATTAGCTACCGGACTTACGCGACATGTCTCGAGGGTTGCGATCAGAAACATTTGGGTGCCTTCTATCGGTCCCTTGAGCTCTCCTGACTAAGGTTTCTATAGGGGCTTAAATAACTACCAAGACTATGTTGAAGTTCCTTAATTTAAAAATAGCATAATATCAAATGTGGAAAGGTGGGAAACTCGTGGTTGGGGATACGCTTCTTAGCAGGCAAAGCTAATTTTTCGTGTGCGGTGGTTCGCTGGCCTCAGCTACCTTCACCCATACTTCCCACAAGGAAGCTCATGGTGGCTGCGATGGGCATCTGCAACCAACTGGATCTTTGGCTGAATTTGGCAACCTACATACCCCCAACTGCCTGTGCAATCCCTATGAACCTTCAGCCCGGCGCGCTCGGCGGCTTTCTAGCAGACTGCTGCTGGCTCGCATCAAACAGGCCATTGTCGTGATGAAGGCCGCAAAGGAAATCTACCAGAAGGCCGATGCAGCCGGAAGCTACGCGGGAAGGATGGCATTTACCGTTCAGAAGATAGGACACCTTAATACATACCCCCAGAATAGTAGGGCTCTTACACAGGATCCCCCAAAACGACCGCAAATATCCTGTGACTGTTGTTGTTGTGCAACCGGAGATCGTCTCGGGGTCGGAGTGTCCCCACTGAGAATGGGCAGAAAGATTGAGTCAATTCCACGAACTTCCGCAATTTAATCCGCAAGCCAACGAAAGAGAACGATGTGCAGCATGTGCCTCAGAGGGCTTGCTCGACGGCTTTCAGGCTGCAGAAATGTGTTTTGCCTTGCTTGATGTGAACTCTGCCTGAAAACGAGCCAAGAAGCTAGTCATCTCCTAGTGACTTGTGTTGTCAAGGGCATGAAAGCTAGGCAAGCCCGACGCCAATGTTGGGATTGTTGTTGTAGCCATGTTGTGAACTGCCAACCGCGCATGTGGTCTGACAGGTGAACTGGGAGGTCAACACGCGGCGCATCACTAGCAAGGAGTACAGACTTGATGAGGTGCCCTGCATCAGATTTCAGATTTCTAGAGTCTTAGCTTCTAATCAGGCTACAGAAAGGAGACCCATGATGCAGCCCGCGACGTCGATCCATAGACTGGCAGAAATTTCCAGGTTCCACGAAAGCTTCGCATGCAGGCTTCGGTGGTGCGTCGAAGAGAGCGCATGCCTTCGGGAATGGACTCCGTGCACAAGTCCTCTGCATCGCGCAGGCCGGAGATTGAGCCTCCTTGCTGATAACATGTCAGCTGCCACTGATATTATGATTGTTATTCTTACTTATGAGTTTGGGGGCTGTGTCTCGTTATAGCTTGGTAAAAGGATGCTTGCGCTGCACGGCTGCGGCTCGAGCTCGGCAGAAACCAGCGGGCATCCTTTTGATCCATTCCGTACTCATGGCTCGCCGCACCCGAAGCGTGGCCATCTTGGCCCTGGTGGCAGGCGCATTGGCATGGTCTTCGAGCTTCGTGCTGCCGGGGCAAGGCCAAGGCAGCAGTCATGGCCGACGTGAGGCCTTGCTTGGGCTGGCTGGTGCTGTTGGTGTTGGGCTAGCTGCAGAGCCGGGGCAAGCATTCGAGGGAGCAGGCCAATGGATGGGCTACTATGCTGACCCTCAGCACCCAATGTGCCCGCGAAAGATCGTCTACGAGTATGATCTCTACGAGAAGGCACAGATGATGGTGGACGGAGGCGACGGCAACCCGGGGTGCGAGAAGAAGGTGCTCACCAGGTGGACGGCCCAGGTCGACTGGAAGGCAGGCTCAGATGAGATTACCATCGACTTCAGTAAGAAGGGTGGGCCCAGTGGTGTGGTTGGAAAGTGGGACAAGGACGGCATCGTCTTCCCTGATGGCAACAAGTGGAAGAAGATCATCTCATACAACACTGGCAACGGCCAGGGGATCTGAGCCTTTAGATCTTTTCACTTCAAAGAAGCCAAAGACAACAGCTGAGAAGTAGCCTTTCGATTTTTAGTGCCAGATAGATGTAGGCTTGTGGAGTTTAGGAGTGCGCAGAGTCGGACACGAGGCGTGCTGCAGAGCAGTGACAGAACACGAGTCCATCGTGGACAGGGCACAACTGGCCTTTCTTAAGACAAGTGGTCCCTATTTACAGGTCTCTCTGCCACGCACGCGTCATTTAAATGTTGAGACTTCCGCATTCCAAAGGCACCCACCATCTTAGCAATCGTAAATTTGATGTCTTATCTTACGTTCGGTCAACACAGGTTTTGCAGGCCACATCTGGGCCTCAAGGCTCTGTCTGCACCGGTATACCTAAGTCCATGGTCTGGATCCCTTGGTAAGAGTAAAGGGGCCATTTACAAGCATCCCTTCCTACGGAGCCTGTAACTCTGAATCCCGTAAGAGGAACCGATAGGAAAGGAACCTGCATAAAGTGGGACTCTTGAGAGGAGAACCTGTAACCCGAACCAAGCCTTAATGCATTAAGCTTTCACAAGAATAGAGAAATTGTACGAAATCCCAATGTGACAATCCCTTCTAGAAAAAGAAACACCAAAAAGGGACCCCTGATAACTGAAACTCTATATGCTAAAACCGTATGTCTTGATAGGTCGGCGGCCCCAAGCGGGCAGCAGCAGCAGCGGGGTCAGGGTCGGCGAGGATCCATCTCGGCGAGCTCCATGAGTCCCAGCCAACGAGACACTTGGACTGGGCTCAGGGTTTTGGGGTTTGGGGTTCAGGGGTTTACCTACCAGGCGTTCTTGCTTGCAAGCCTGCAGAAAAGGGTTTATAAGGTTTAAGGTTTAGGGGCTTAACAGGGCGTTAAGAGTAAGGGTTTATAAGTCTTCGTTGACAGGGTAGGTCTCTGTAAGGGTTTCAATTTTGCTCATTCCTGGACGCCAAAAGTATGTAGAATAATAGCCTTTTATGGGTTTTGGGCCATCATTTTACCTACTTTTCGGTGGTTTAGGTTAGGGTTTATTTCTAGAAGAGTCTAACAGGGTTGCATAGGGGGGTTAGTACATAAGGGCTCAGGCTTTCTGAGGTTTAGGGTTTAGGATTGCATCTGTCTGCCATAGGGCTTTATGGTGGGTTATGGTTTATGTATTCAACACATAGTTGTTTTTAGAAAGCCTTGACCTTTTGCCACAGGGAGATTTCAGGAATTTGGTTCATGATAATTACAATTTTCTCAAGCCTCAAAGGGCATTAAGGGCCGTTTAAATGTGTTCATACTTTGGTCTTGCGGTCGAATAGGGGTATACATAAATATGTACGTCTACACCCGCAACTTTCCTACATGAGTATACCATAGCATGCCCATTAATTATGGCTCTTGCAGCATGAAAACCGGCTAAACCCGGCAAGCTGCCGACACCGACCCTAAACCCTGCAACCCTAAACCCCGAGACCAAACGCCAAACTCGCATCAGAGGCGCCCTCCGTGGCTGGCAGATCGCAAGGCAGCCGTCGCTCCAAAAAAGGGGAAGAGATGACCGAGGAAGCGATGGAAGGGTTTAGGGTTTAGGGATGCATCTTGTTGGAATCGGGTTGCGTTAGAAGAAGTTTTACGGTTTAGGATTCGGCCTTCTAGATGTGTTTTGCCTTTACGTCACAGGGCGGCGGTGGGCCTCAGGGTTCAAGCGCCGGGCTGCGCTATGCGTTGATGCCAGGAGGATGGGACACTGTTATTGTTTCCTCCGGTCCCTGAACAACTGGAAATGAAACCGCTAATAACCCCTATGTAACCTTTTCTGCTATAATATACGCTTCAACCCTGTTCTATTTATTCAGGCCCCTATACTATAACGGTCTTAGAAGTCTCAGGATTTCTTCACTGGGCTGGTCTCGGTATCAGTCAAGGAATTTTTGGTGGCTGCTTCAATACCTCTCTGAAGGATTTACTTTTGGGTGGCTATTGAATTTGGGGATGGCTTCAGAAGAGGATTCTATTGTTTGGGTCCATGCAGGGGTCCCCCGATTTTCTAGAAATTCCCGTAGATGGCACTTGTGGATGGCTGCACAGCCGACAGGTCTGAACGATGCTCCAAAGGCTATTAAGAAAGCCAGCTATCCTAAACCCTATAAACCCCCAAACTTCTAACCCCAAACCCATTCATCGTCGAGGACCCACGAGAGCCTGGCAACCATCCTGGGGTTTGCGAGATTTGCGTGGCAGCCTGGCAGTGGTAGATGTTTTGTACAGAATGCATGATACCTGGAGCTGTTGCTGTGATACCCTAAACCCTAGACTCTTGTGTGGAGCCTTGCCTGCCTGGTGCGAGTGTGAGAGTCGAAACCCTAGACTCTCGACCCCAAAAACCCGTGAGTATGCGAGTGTGCGAGTCGAAAACCCTATTTTCAGTAACAGAAGAGACTGTCCCACCCTAAACCTGGCAATGAACCGAGGAGTCCCTCTTTCGCGCCTTGGGCTGGGATGTAGACTGGACTGCCCCCGCGTCTGCCAACTACGGCCTCAATGCCACTGGACCCAAGTCAAGAGGCTAAGAGAAGAATAGGCTTCGACAGTTGCATGTCTTAGGCAGCGAACGTGAGGCGCGATCATTCCTGCTTCGAGCCAGAAAATAGCTGCAGGTGTTCTCGTCATGGTTGCTGTTGCTGCGTCATCCTCAATCTCGTCTTTTGTGGGGCTCAACCACCTCGACTAATCTACGCCCCAAACCCCTTTGCCCTAAACCCCTACACCACTAGTTCTGTTTCGAGGCTGGTGCCATAAAGAAGAAGATGGAGGAGGTCATGCTGGCTTGCTGTTTAGCGTTTGTTTAGGTTTAGGGTGTTTCTATGTGTATGTATATATATATATATATACATACATATACATACATAAGCCCTTTCTAGGGTGTTCCATTTGGGTACCTTCATCACGCGCGAAGGGACTGGCAGACTCCCTGGATGAGTGTAATTTCCTGCAATGAGGACGGTTTAGTGCCAATCGGAAGTTACATATCAATCTCACGGATCTAATTATGTAGCTGAACCTAGCTAACCCATCTATGTCTAAAGCCATCTAACTATAAACCTAGGTCCGAATGTCCGAATTCAAACTAGAGCGAGTCGAACCGAAGCGAGTCTAGTCTAACTAGTCCAGTGTTGTCTCATCTTATGTCCGATCTGATGTGTTATGTTATCTTATCTCTTAACTCAGAATATAACTTCTTACTATTTCCCTATCGTGTACCATTTGTGTATGTTATGCTATCTTGTTGTTGCTTACCTTATCGTATATTTCATTGCCTTGTTGTTTTGTCTTATCTTGCTGTACCTTATATAGTTCATTATCGTTTGTCTTGGCTTATTTTATTTTCTCTGACTTTACCTTATCTTGTACTATGTTATCTTACCTCATATCGCCTCAGCTTTTCTGATCTTTTCTTTACCTTACCTTACTTATCCAATCTTAGCCCAGTATGATGGCTCTTTGTGTTTCTTGTCGTACGCCCTATATCTCATATTGTGTACCTTATGTCTTTGTTGTGAGGTCTCAGCTCAGCTTCTCTTATGTCTTACCTGTCAAGCTATCGACCTATTTATATTCTACCTACCTACGAGCCTGCCTGCCTGCCTAGATCGCTAACTAGCTCGCTAGCTAGCTACTATCTATTTATCTATCTATCTATCTATCTATCTATGTGTTAGTTTATCTATTCGTCTGTAAATCAATCCAACCATTCATCAATCAATTCGCCAATCAACCAGTCTATCTATCTTTTTACTTCTCTAGTTCCGTATCGATCCACCTATCTATCTACCGAACCAGTCTTTGCGCATGTGAGTTGTAGAACAAAGATAACACAATGCAACTATAATTCGTTCATGTAATGTATTCATGTGTACATGCATGTCATTCGGATTCGGTAGGTGGATGCAGAGATGCAAGTATGTACGTACGCATGTGTGCATGTATGTGTGTGTGTGTACGGATGCGTGGCGGCATCTATCTTACATAGATACGGAGCATCATTGCCCTGAGTTTGTTCTGCTTCGCTAGCTTGGTACAGGTGGCCGCGTTGCTGGAGCCTGCGCAGGGAGGTGCTGCCCATGAAGCTATGTTCTTGTTTAGTAGCTTTTTTCGAGTTACCATAATTTTTTTACGGGGTTGTATAGAGTTGTAGGGCGAAGGGTCGAGGGACTTCATTGAATTTGCTATACGTAAGAGGTACATATATATATATATGCATGTATATAACTATTTCGCGTTGCATCTAAAAGTTTGTTTGTCAATTCTTTTGTTGTGAAGCAAGATGCCCCCTTCACATAACTTAGATGAAGCTCCCCTGCAAGTAACCAGGAACTGATGGACTCGTTGCTCGAAATCCATGCACCTCCCTTGGATGCAGGACGCCCTGGCAGAGAAGGGTTAAGGGCTCAAGGTTTATAGGGTTTAGGGCTGAGGGTTCTATAGGGTTTGGGGTTTTAGGGTTTCATCACGGAGCCCCAGGTGGAACAAAGAGTTTAGCTACAGCGTTCAGTGCTTCGGAAGCGAACGAGCTGTATAGACTTTCCAGGATTCCAGAGCACGACAAATCCTTGTTAGCGTACCGTACCTGCTTTCGTGCGAGAGAGAAACTCCGCACCTGCAAGTCCCGGATGTCTCTTTCTGTGAACTACAGACTCTGCTCGAGATTTTTGCCGGGGGGCGCGGGGGCGTGGGGCATGCTGGTATCGTAGGCTTGTAACATGTAGAACTTATGGCTGGCGGGGCAGGGGCGGGTTGCGCATTTTTCTGGAACGCGTCCCACTCCGATTCCTGATCGGAAGCCATCCCACACCTAGGAGTAGTTCTGCTCAACCACCCTTGTCAAATGAGTCCCAAAACTGTTGTGTTATACGGCCGGACTTGGACGGGTAGAGACGAGAGCAGGCTAGATCCGAGCCTTCCATGTTCAAATCCAAATCCTATCAAATCCTGCCTGCAGCTGCCTGGCGGGAAGAACGTCGTGCTCGATGCTGCGTGGCTTCTCGGGCCGCATTGCATTAGCTCGCCCGCCCGCGCAGTAATTAATTAAGCTGTTTGGGGATCTAAGCAAACCAAATCAAGTCTGAGGAGGTGACCTCCTGAGCCAGGTGCGTTCAAGCAAAAATGTTGCATATTCAAGCGCTGTTCTGCTTCCGTCACTGGCTGCAGTCTCCCGTGCTAGGTCCGCTTTGCGCTAGGTTCAGTCTCAGGGTTTAAGCGCCCAGGATCCGGCAAAGCTTTTCTGCGCCTTCTCAAAGGATGAGTACCTGAAGCCAATGAGAAACTCGGCTGGATTTCTGATCTACTAAGTCGCCACTGTTGAAGATTGGGGAGGGATTCTCTTCAAACCCTGTCTTGAGCTGTTTTTCGGCTGGAAGGCTTCGATTACTTGCCAACGACATTTTCGTTCGCTTGCGGGTGGTGGGTTGCTATGACGGGATATTCTCAGACTCAGACTGACCATTGATTGCTCCGAACACTGTTGCCTGAGACGACTGTCGCCGGTAGTATGGTGGAACAGTTTTTGGAAGACACAAGCCGTCCACAAGAGGTTTTCAAGATCACATGCGCGCAAGCCATTCACTAGCTCGGCAAAGGAAGCTGCAACCACATTTATCAGGATGCAAAACATCCTACAAATAGGAGCTTATATATGTGTTGGGTACACTCCCGTGTTAACTTATGTAGCAGTATTGACAAAAAGTCTGTCTGATACTGTCACGACTGCTTATCATACTAGTAGGCCCAATTGATCATAGGCATGCTCCTTAAGCTGAACTGTAAGCCGAAAGGACCACTGCCGCTGTGCTTCACCATAACCAGCCGTACAAACATTGGAGATTGGTGTCTTCATCTCTGGCAGTATCCATATTGTACTAGATCACTGCTAACATAAACTGTGCTATGTGATAGTGTTCTTATGATTTCAGTGAAAGATGCCTATGTTTTTGCATTACAACCACACGAATGCCAGAAGCTGCAACTCCACATCCTTAAATCCCCCTCCACACCCTTAAACCCCCTGATATAGTGAGTCCCCTCTGCTGATGCTGCGAGTGGCCTGAAGTCAGACTTGTCGCCTGACTGTGCGAGCTTGCGAGTCGAAATCCCAAAACTGACTCCCGAAACCCTAAATTTCGGCAGCGAGACCCTCAGCCCCTGAAACCTTAACTTCATCCGGAAGCTCTCAATCAAGATACTGACTAAGTCAACCCCCAAGCTCTCCGCTTGAGGCTTTCCTTTGGCTTTGGAGCTGGCGATGTTTGCAGTACTTGCCGTGGTCCGTACTGCCCCTGTGCCACTCGTTTGCCAAGGGGTTTCCGGTCTAGGGCTCAGGATGTCTCGTTATGAAGGGGCCTGAACATAGTGTGTATATATGTATATAATTTATATACATATATATATATACATATATATATAATGATAATAAAGCTAATATTACTATATGTGTCTGTGCATATGCATATATATATATGGATATGGAGTTCAGCATATGCTTTTGTTGGGGCAGCATGCCTCCCCTGGTTCAGGACTTGAACTAATTAGCAGGCTATGACATGTTGAGCTGCGGAACATGTACCAACACAGGTGTACCTTTGGACATTTTCGAAATGTCCTAGTGAACTTGTTGTGGTGTAGAATTAAACCCTAAATGCCAATACCCCATCAAGAAACTAAAGACACAAGTGCTAGCTGAGGAACATGGACATCCAGCCGAGCCGTGAGAAGACGCTTCAGCGGACGGACACTTGCTTTCAGCAATCCCCTCGTCTGAACGACAATCTGAAGCCTATAAGTATGTATATGATGTGTACATACATACATCCATCCATACATACATGCATGCATGCATACATACATACATACACATACATACATACATACATACATATATATATATATGTATATATACGCACATACATATATACATATGCAGTATCATATACATGTATATGAGATCTGTACAAAGTTGTACCAAGTTGTACAAAGTGTAGATATGTACAACGTGTGTTTCTGTTTATACGCACCCGTACGTAAGCATATACATACATGGCGGAGGAACAGACACGTGCTAAATGCGAGCACACATGAAGGTGCATGATACTACGACGTGTTCGATTGGAAGCTGCAGTCCATATGTGATCGCGAAAATGGATTGCCGACAACGGCGCATGTGTACATATGTTGGCGTGCAGTTTTCCATGCCTCTGTTATTCATATGTGTTAATTAATTAGTATCTGTATACGTACTCGTAGCATGCAGACAAGCTGTGGAACGAGATGTAAACTACAAGCCACATCTATTCCCTTGTTTTTCCTTTCGTAGCTACAAAATGTAACGTCCCCCCCTCCCCCTCCCCAAAGCCCTATTCTAATCCGGTTGAATGTTGAGGCCCCTGTATTGGATGTAGCAATCTTGAGGATGCCATCCTTTGCTTGTCAAAAGTGCTCTCACGCAACCTAGTGTATAGGGCTTAAGGGAACGACATCCTGCATGATTCGTACAAGGTTTTGGGCGGTCCCCATTCCTACCGAGGCCTTCAATTATAACATGATGAAACATGTATTTTGAACAACAAATTCCCGAAACGCTGCTTACTTCTGCCAGAAGATTGTGTGTCAATTCGACCCCAAGCACCGCCACTACCATTCAAGAGGTCCGCATATTTCTATCTCCAACACCGACACCCCAGAACTGTGTTCGACCTGAATCCCACCCTGGCCAAAGGATTTCCTGTTTTTGCGGAGCGGCCTCGAGTTAGCAGAGCAGGAAGTGCGGGGCGACATCGCGAAGACCAGAAAGGAGGCATTTAGTCCTAAACCCTAGACCCAAACCTGAGGTGTAACTGCGGCATAGGTTTCAGCAAGAAGCGTGTTTAACACTCCGTGTTCGCATGTAGGGACGTTGACCCAAACATCCACCAAGATCATGAATTTGAAGTGCGTTTTGCTATTGAGTTTTGGCGCAGTACCGGCAGCAAGTACATGTCAGCAATTACCAATATTGCTTCCTCAGAACCCAAACTAGATGCAGTTCAAAAGCACAAAAGACGCGTTGAAAGGCCGTCGAGGCCCCTTGGCACACTGTGGATGCCCTCAAGTCGCACCATCGTAAAAAGCTTAACCGTGGATCAACTTCAAACGCAGGTTCCACCCCAACCGACCGAGCACAAACGAACCCCCCCCTGGCATGTCCGACAGTGAGCTCCGAAACCCAAGCCCCGAACCCACTCCTGGTGGTTGCCTTAACATTGTGAGTAGTCGAACCGAGAGACCTCGTCTGGCAGAGTCCGAGTTGCGAGAGCGTAGCCCACTCCTGGCCCGCAAGCTTGGAGACGAAAAGGTTATCAAGCAACGCGAGATGGGTGGGAATGTGCGAACTTGGCTGCACTGCGCAAGCTTCAGAGATTCCCGTCGCGTCGACAAGTGCAGAAAGCCGCAGAATCGCATGCAGCAGCCACATGCCTGCAGGTCGGGGAAGAAAGTCATGAACATTGGCGCTCGATTCGGTGGGAACCGCATCGAGCCGGCAACTTTGCCGCACGGAGGCTTTGTTGGGTCACGCGCTCCCTCTTGTGCCTACAAGCACTTGTTTTCAGCAGCTGCGGTTCGGTGTTGTGCTGCTATATCTCCTGACCATTGCTCTGGTTGTCTACATAGGGCTCAACTATGTTCAACTACAGGGTGTCTGTGCGAGGTCAGTGTCGGAAGAATTCTGGCGACTCAGAAGGATCTCCCTGCCGATGACCTCTCCGCCATCATTGATATCCAGGCTTAGCTACCACTGTCAGCTATCGGTGATGCAGTTTCCTGTTCCGATCAGTGTTTGCGATTCTTCTGGATTTATGATGCATCACTGCTACACGCCAGTTCTTGGCATTTTTTTCTGGAAAAGAGGGGGATGTCCTTGCACAGGACGGCCACGTCCACGTCACCGCTAAGCTTAATGATGATGCTTGGGTCTGCAAGCTTGTGTTGCTGTGTACGCCTGTTCCCATCTGTGCCTGCAGCTGCACATATCGGAGTAGATTGCCAGAGTGCTGTCTGTTGTCAGAAGGTTTGTTGCTATGTCAGCAGAAGGTGTGTCGGCACACCGCCACTCTTTCAAACACGCGACTTGGGAATCGACAGCCTCGTCCCATCCTGTTCTCAAAGTTTGCGGACCGGCTGAGGACGACAGTGATGACGAAGGTCGACGTCGCGCAGACAAGAAGACGCGGCGCAAGGACAGCCCCCATTTGGTTGCACTTGCTGCCGGGACGACCGACACTGCTTGCTTCCACTCGAGCGTCGTCATGTCAAATCGCACACACCCTATGTCCGATGTCCGGGGAGCCAGGACGACGTTTACATCCAGACTCACCAGTCGTGCCCCCCGGCCGTGTTGTATCTGGGGGTGCTACAGGTGTCATGAGATGAGGAGGACGTACTCGCGGCGGAGGGCACAAAAACGAGAGCAGAAGCGGCAACCCATGATTAGCCTTGGTCTGCTGCAGGTTCATCCAGCAGCAGCAGATGTTGAGGCCGATAAGTCAAAGCAACAATGTGCCAGCAGGCAAGTTCAATTGCAGGCAATGGCGACACTTCTGTCGTTGAGCGAGGCTGACCATTCTAAGTTCAAGATGCTTCGTTTTATAGGTAATGCTGATGCACTGATGCTTCTGATTTATTGCTTTTGTCCACCTGCTTGCCTCAGAGCGTGTATCTAGTGGAGGGAGATGTTGCGCACTGGCGGGGTAAGCTTAACCCCAACATCCAAAATCCCAAGACCGCAACAATAAAACTTTAAGCTCGAAACTAAAGCCGCAAATCCTAAACCTTGGAGCCCAAAGACCTTGAAACCCTGACACCAACAAGGCCCGAAACCCCAAAACCCTAAAGCCTGAACCCTAAACTCCAAAGGCCTACCCTCCCTAGCCCTAAGCCCTCAGCTGATCAACTGAGGCTTCGGCGTGATGAGCTCAGAGCGCTTTCAAGATAACCTTCTCCGCTACCTCTTGGACTTCCCCTCCTTGCAGGCATGTGCTTTAGGGTTTAGGGACATAGGGTTTATAGGGTTTTGGGGTTTAAGGCTCATGAAACCCTAAACCTTGATTTTAGGTTGGTTCCCCGCTATGTCAAGAGTCGGACTCAGAGTCGTCTATGAATGGCCATATATTTGCCTCAGCCTTCGATATTGAAAAACGCTTTTATGTAGAAGCAAAGGAGACCTGAACTCGTGGCGCAAGCACAGGTGTGGGATTCACAACAGACATCCCAAGCTCCCATTGGATCTACATCTGGCTTGCTTCGTGAAGGTCACGTGCCCGAGGTGAACGGAAGTCACTGCCTTATGAAGTCTGCAAACCCTTGTTTAGAATTTGGAACCCTCCCTAAACCAAAAATACCCTGTAGCATAAGGGGTCCTCACAAAGGGGCACGCTGCAGTCTCCGGTTTGAAGGTGGATTCGATCGACGAAGATGAGCGCAAGAGAGCTGTGCGGAAAGTGCCCATGGGAATGGAGTCGCCCGAGACGGAAGAGGCTTTTGGGGAGGGTGCTGTGAGGTTTAGGGATGATGTCTGGGGCGTATGCTTTATGGTTCAGGGCCCAGGGCATAGATTTTAAGATGTACGGTCCGGGCATCTAGCATGCCCGAGTTCTGAAAGCTGAAGCCGCATGTTCTGCTCATGTTGGGAAGATGCATTTCTCACACCGTGAATATGCAAGTCTCGTAGTGGGAGTGCCAGTAGGTCTCAATGCGTCAGACTGTGCAGAGTCCGCATGCCAACATGTCATTGCTCAGATTTGCGTTGTCTGAAGTGGTGTATGGTTCGGAGCCAAGCCGTAGCCCCTAAACCCTAAACCCTGAACCCTGTTTATAGCACGGACCTCGAGAAGCCATGCCTGCTGCGTGCGAGTGTGTGAGTCGAAATATCCCCACACCTTCAGATGACCCGGCAGATCGGTTTGCTGAAGTTGAAAAGATTCGTCTTGGCTCTGCTGCACCCAGCAGCCGGCATACACAGTACTCCGGTCTAGGGCTTGGGCTTTGGGGTTTCCATGTTGCTCCCCCAAGGACCAGGGAGTCGATCCCCCCGGTAGCCGTGTTGCGTCGTTTTGCTTTTGAGCCCTAACTCCAAAAAATAGCGGCTCTAAACCTAAACTAAAACCCTTCATCGTCCGAGTCGCGAGAGTCCAAACTCTAAACCCTAGTTGCGAGAGTCTGCACACCTAAACCTTAAACACTCAACCCCCAAAAAAAGTACAGACCTTCGTCCGCCATGCCAGCCTTGTGCGAGTATGTGAGTCGAAACCCCAAAAAAAGCCCTAAACCCTCAAAGCCCGAAACACTTAAACCCCTTCACAGTAGTAATGCCGAAACTTCCTATGAACCCGAGCCTGCCCTGTCCAAGAGTGCGAGTCGAAACCCTTCGAACTTTCCTTGTGAAGGAGGATGATAACTTCTATCAGCAGGAGACCTTGAGCTCTGGCGAGGCTTATGTTGTGGGGTTGAGGGTTTGTTGTAGTTTGGGGCTTAGTGCTGATCCTTGTTTCTTGAGACGAGGGTTTAAGGTCGAATCGAGTCGGGTATTTGTCGTGGTGTCTGTAAACCTTGCTTTGCTATGCAGAACTTGTAGCAGTGCCTGCAATAGGGATGCAATTCGCCATTCATGGTTCTCGGGCATATCTCTGATCATTGTGTTTTTGCTTTTCTTAGTAAATCCAGCATCTGTTTTAAGAGGGATCCAAAAAATTTGCCTTGCTTAGTTTGTAAGGGGGAGTAGAGCGCCCCGAAAGAGAGCTCTTTTGTTCGAAGCTTTCGGGTTTATGGGTGCATCTTCAGTCTACTACTACTACTACTACTTCTACTACTTCTACTTCTACTTCTACTACTACTACTACTACTACTACTGCTACGACTACTACTGCTACTACTAAACTGGCTTTAAAAGGGTTTAGGCTCGCTTCGGAGCCTTTAGGGTCTCTATGGTTGGGGTTGCCGAGTTTAGGTTTGAAGGTCATGAGAGCTCCACCATGTGCTCAGACCTGCAGGCGATTGCCCAAGTTCTGATGCAAGAGTAGGGTTGTAGGTTTATAGTTGAACTGGGTTCATTCTGCAGGTGCTAGGGTCCTGGATATTGCGGTTTAGGGCTGGGGGTGTTTTGGGCCAGATGGAAGGTCCACTGCCGTTGAGGGAATCCTTTACTACAAGAACCTTGTGGGAGCCCGAAAAGCTTTGAAACCCGTTCCAAAGCCACTGAAGCCCTGTCAAAGCATTTGAACCGAATTCGTCAACCTCTACACCGCCCTTGAAAGCCCGTGAAATCCGCACAGATCCTGCAGCGCCCTATAGCAACCCTACCAATCACGCTAACACCCCATGAAACTCCTCAGATGATCAGGCTTGACACGTCCTAAACTTTGAAGATCCGCAGGTGATCTGGATTGACGAAGAGATCCTTCTGGATTTCGAGGAGATGGGATCGCAGGAGCGGACCAAAGGGCAAGTATATAGAGGCAATTTACAATTAATTAGTTAGCTTGCTCTAGCATGGGGGAAGCATGTGGGTCTTAAACGGGGATGGTCTACTCCCAGGAGCGAACTACTTCCGGTAATCTGGTTGCGACCCAAGCTCATTTTGCGTTCGTTGTGTAATAAGAGTGCTGTCAGCGCTCCCAGGGGAACACCATGGGATGCAACTGGGACGACGAGCCTTGAATCACATCTATAGTGTCTATAGTATAGCTAATAGCCCAATAGCACAACCAACGGCTGCCATTTTCATGACAATCGTCGTAGCTAGTCATCGTTCACCAACATCAACATAGTCATGCGCATACCCGCATTTACAACCCAAGTCAGATCCATAGACATTTGCTCCAGTGCGACATACATCACACCCAGGTGAACAGATGTGCCGAGAGGCGTAACTAAGACCAAACCTCCACAAAGCCGATGCACCCCTCACCAAGAAAGAAGAAATCCTTAAACCCAAACCCCCAGACTGCAAACTCCAAAATTCTAAGCCCTCCAGGCCGTTGCGTCCGAAGCCAGCACTGGATCCATGACAAGCTACGAGCGTGCGCAGCAATTGGCTGCCTGGAGAAATCGGAAATTGTCATTGATATCAAGGGGTCGGAAGTAGGTTTCTTTGTTTGGCAAGAATCCCATCGTTGAGGGTTCCACGGTGAGGTTTTTTTACTTGTTGACACTCCCGGTACCGTCTGGATGTAGCAGGTCCGGGTTGAATTGAGGATGCTGTCTCCTGTCTCGACTTCTCCTTTTTGTTCGCGTTGCTTCCAAAAGGAACGTGCTCCGTCCTCTCATCTATGCTGTTCCTGTTCAAGATGTGTAAGGAGCAGTTTCATCGTCTTCTGGTGGCCTCTGGGGGCATGAACAATTAGGGGCCCCCTTTTTGACTGCAGGTAAGATTTCGGACTCATTGCCATGGCACGGAATCAACAGAAGCCCAACTCAGCAGTTAAGGTTGTATGTGGTTGTATAAGAAGGGTAGTTCTTGTGGATTAGTCTAGGATGCTCCCTTGTGTGGTTTAGCCTGTAAAACGACGATAAGAAGTAAAGTCTAAAGATAACTTTTAACCTTTGAAGGTATGTTACATGAGTGCGATGACTAGTCCTATTAAGATTCCAGTGCCACTAGTTCTGCCGGTACTACTACATTTATTGGCACTGCTTGCTAGTAACGCGAGACGACTATTCCCGTTAGAGCTACTCCTACTGCTACAGCTACTGCTGATGCTGCTACTACTCCTACTGCTCTTGCTACCGTTGCTGTGGTACTGCTACTGCTATGTGCAAGCTGAAGCTTGGAGACTTGCTACATGAAACCTCCAATATCTGAGGCGAGCTGAATATCCAAAACGATCACAAAACGATATCAACAGCGATAACTTTGGTTTGGAGGTGCCTTTTGATCCGCTACTAGTGACCAGTGCCAGCTATGGACATCTTGTTGTAAGATGTTGCAAAACCAAGAGCCAATCCATCCTTGATGCCTTGTAAAACGTTAAGGCGTAACAAAATCGATAAGCCAATTTGGTGATCAGGGATTGATCGCGCGGATTTTATACGACCCCAGTTAAGCTTGTCACCTCACTGGATGATCATCGCTGCTGCATGTGTGGATACCATAGAGATTAGCCGCTGCATTGAAGTCCACCTGATGGCCTGGTAGCCATTCCGAAGGCTAGAGCTCAACCCTCAGAGACCCGCCTCTAGACTCTGGTCTAGAAGCTTCACTTATTACCCATACCATCCCTTAGGGCTCCTGTTGTTATATGAATGAACGCCAAAGCCTTGATCTAATCGTCAACCCTACCCATTCAGGGCTGCTGGAGACAGAGCTTCGGTGTGTGAAGCCTCTTCTGCTCAGGCTCAGAGTTGCTCATATACAGTCGCTTGAAAGATTGTGTGTTCCATATTATGATTATACTAGTAGCACAATATACCCCCAGGGCCTCTAGGTTACGTTCGGGTGCCCAGGCTTTTGCCAAAAAAGTCGTCAGCATAAGGCTTCTCATAACTATGCGGGGGCATCGTCTCTGAATACTGCTTTCACAATACCTTATAGACATTCTTGGGATGTATAGAACCCTGGCTTCCAGCTCTCCACCCTGGTTTTCGTATGGTTTTAGCCAGCTATCGTAGTCACCCAGGCATCTCCAGGGGAGATCAAGAGATCACCGACATCGAACATGGGCCGGCATGCACCGAAACGTGCAAATCTCAGCTTCGCACATAGCACTCGTGAGCTGGGTTGTTGCTGCAGAGGATTTTGTCTTTAAGCACTTCACCGATCGCTCAGCTGCTGTCCCAGGCGATGCTGGGGGTGATGCTGCTTGGCTGGCTGTTCTAAGGCCACCACCAACATCAGACATGAATGCCGTCGAGGTCCAGTGACATGTGCAGTCTCACTGGGGTAGTGGTTCAGCAGGAGTCCGGGAGACAGGTGCCGGCATTTCGGCAACTTCCTGCACGGTCCTCCTAAGGATCATTAGCCTAGGGTGGCACTCCTGTCCTGGAGACCCGTACCCTGGAAGTAAGGACAAGAAGAAGGCATCGATTCTGAGCAGATGCTCCCAGTGGCTTCAGTCACGGGCAGCTGTTTGCGGCGGGCATCGCGCCCGCATGCAGCGAGGGTAGGCTAACTGTTCATCGCATGCCGTAAGTCCACGACATCTTTTGGTGGCTACAGAACAACCTTATAAACCTAATTATGTAGATTCTGATGAGTGAAGATAAGTCAACCCAACACTGTGTACAACTGTACATCTTGAGATATGGTACTGTCTCGGCGAACGGTTTTCTCAATACCGCAAGTACATCCACTCGGGCATGCCTGAAAAACGACATAACGAAACCGGGCGTCGCACTTGCCTCTGCCATCATGCGGAGGACACGGGGTACCGACAGGCGTATTTTAGGTGGCCTGGCTAGTGGAG